GATTTTGTATCACATGTTCTCATGATTAGACGTAGGCTATGCGGTTTTGCTACTTGAGTGACGCATTCTTCTCAATGCACCCCAAAGAGAGGGACCTAATGTCAGTGCCATTATTGCCAATGACAACTTTTCTCACTTGTTAAGGTGGTATCTGCCAGGTTTCTTGACAAATCATTGTTTTAAAGAAGAAATCAGCTATGGTCTAAAGACGTTAATCCTCCACTCAGAAGTTTATAAATGTAACATAATCCCCAAAATGCCCTTTTTTTCAGAAGTAGACAAGCAGGTTCATTCAAGATAAATAAGCAAGCAATAGCCCTGAGAAAACCTAAAATAGAAGAAAAATTGGGAGGAGAAGAATTTGTCTCCCCAGTTCTTAAAACCCATCATAAAGCCTTGGTAGTTAATACAGAATGGCACCTGAATAGACAAACAGCCCAGTGGAACAGAAGACAGAATCCAGAAGAAGGCCCAGGTGTATGTGGGACATTAATATATGACAAACATGGGTACTCTGATCAGTGGATAAAGGTGGACTTTGTACTAAATAGCACGGGGACAGTTGGATAGCTGTTTGGAAAAAGGTAAGTTGGAACCATACTACACATAGTACATCAGGATAAACTCCAATGGATCGAAGTTTTAAATGTGAACAATGCAACCATATAAATATTACCAGGAGGCTTGCAATAGCTGTGATGGACCTCTCCCACCCTCACCCATCCCCTAGTTAGGTCCACTCGGGGCTCCCTCCCCTGCCTTGGAAGGCTGCAGTGCATAGTGACTCCAGCAGGCCCCTTCCTGCTCTCTGTGGCCAACGGGTGCCCTGGCGCACGGGAGAAAGATGAGGACGGAGTACACATGTCTTGGTCTCCCCCCACAGGCCTGTTTCCCCAGCAGACTTGAACGCTCCTCTCTCGGCAGCCTGGTCTGCACGATTCTCCTGCCGTCCAGGCTACATTGACTTCTCTGCCCCTCAGCCCGGGGCAGGGATGATATCTCTGTTGCCACCAGGCTCTGACTCTTGCACAGCCCCTTGGGAGGCCCCTAAACCTTGCCCATGCCCTTGTAATTGGTCCCTCGGTACATAAACCCCTCTTGAATCACCCTGATTTGAGTGTGCCATTTACTTCCTATTAGAACTCTGATAGAATAGCCTTGGAACACAATGACTTGTCTAAATGTCTCAAAATCCAGACACCAAAAAGGAAACAGTAATAATTGTAAGTGTTAACAACTTCTACAAGGAAAAAAAAAGCACAACACAGAGAAAGAAAAAAGGTGAAAACTGGGGGAAATACCTGTAGCTTATGACACAGAAAAGAGTGTTTCTCTTTTCATTTTTCTCCAGAGATGAAATAGAGACCACAGGATTGATAGAATGGTGAGCAAGGGTCACAGGCAGTTCATAGAATAAAAAACACAAATGATCCTAAATACTTGCAGGCACTCATAATCAGATACATGAAAATTAAAACTATACTAGGTCAGAATTTTTTCTTGATCAGACTAGAAAAATTCCAAAAGTTTGACAAAACACCTGTGGGTTAGGTGTCAGGGAAGGAGCTCTTTCTCAGTGGGACTGCCAAAAGGTACCGCCCCTACCAAGGGCAATAGTCTTCAAAATTTTAAATGGACTTTCCCTTTGACCCGGCAACCCTGTTCCTAGGGCTGTAGCTGACTAGTGGGAACTGATATCTAACAAGATAATTCCGTGCAACATTCTTTGTGATACGAAAAAACATGGAAACCACCCAAGTGTTCTTGTCTAAAGAACTAGTGAAATAAATCTTTTATTCATGCCATGGAATAACCTACAACTGTAGAAAAGAATAAGGAAGTCCCCTGTGGACTAAAATCAAATATCTCCTGGACACATGGCTAAGTAAGAACAGAAAAGTGCAAAGTACAATATCATTTGGCATGCTAACTTTGGGGTAAAAAAGTAGGAAGTAAGGACGTGCATTTCTATTTTCTTGTGTTTTCAAAAAGAAACAAAGAAAGGAATGGTGGCAGACAGTGGGGGTGGAGGCGGGAGCATGGCCAGGCAATTTGTGCCTTCCTGCGGGCTTGATTTGTGTGCAATATGAAGGCAGCTCCTATTCCAGAAAATGAAGAAGGTAGCAGAGAGGAGAGGAGGAGACACAGAGCACATGGAGAAGATGAAAGAGCCCAGAAAGAAGCCAAACACAGAGCAGATGAAGGGGAAGGAGATGGAGAAATCGACACGGTGCTTGAGTCTGACAGCTTGGTGAACTCTTCTACATTGTTGTCTCTCCAGGTATCAGGGTCATGGACGGGGAGGCCAGAGGGCAAGAACATGGGCTTTGGCATAAAGGAGACCTTGGTTTGAATCATGGTGTTTCTGCCTTCCTGCTGGACAAATGACTTCACCTCTGAGCCACGGTGTGCGTGATCGGTACATGGGGCTATTAGTAGTACTGACGTGATGTTGTTAAGAGAACTGAATTAGCTAATGTACGTCCTTAGAAAGTGCTGGCTCATAGAAGATACAAAACATTATTATTTTTTTTTTAGCTTTCAGGGAGATATGTTGAAAGGTAAGAATTTAATTGCCCATGCAAACTCTTTTTACTGAAAATTTTCCCTGGAAAATGAAATTACTGTCTTCCAAATAAATACTGAGAGTTCTATTTTGAGATGCAGTGCTGAGGGCTCTTTACTCGGCTGTGGTTCCATCATTTAATAAGCCTCCATTTAAGATACAAAATGTAAAGGCTTCTACTCCATTCTCAGCAAATGCAATGTGGGATTTTCCTCCCTTCACATTTTCCTCCTCTTCAGTCTTCTCTTTCCATTTCATCTTCTTCTTTTTTCCTTTCTCTTTTCTTTTTTGTCATCTGCTTTTGCATCTCTTCCTCTTGGCCTGTGTAGCCACAAGTGACCTGCATGTTAATAACAGAAGTGACCTTAGGAGACCACTGGTTCAATCCACTCTTGTTGCAAATGAGCAACAGGGTCCAAGAGAATGAGGTTCACCCACAGCCCACGTAGGGGGACAGGGACGAGATAGGGTCCATCGACACTGGCCGGCACTTCTTGTATGACTCCTTTCCAGTGTCCTTGTCTCTAGTGGATCTAGCTTCATGGATCTAGTTCCAAGGGGCAGGACAGTGGGCTAGACAGTGGTTCTCTTAACAACACACTATTTACTTTATGCCTGTGGACTTCAGAACATAACCTTTGTAAATTCTCAGGTGTGTGCTCTTGCATATCAAAAGCCTTTTCTCTCAAGACTGTCATCCTGGAGTTCCCTTTTTCTTTTCAGTGTCTTTTCAAAAATTATCAAAGTGATACATGCACACAAATAATATCAAATAGAATAACAAGTCTTGTAATGAAAAATGGCACCTATAACTCTTCAGTCTTCTAGGATTATAGCCATAATTCTAAATAGTATCATTAGTACCATTATTTCTTAATTTATTGATTTTGGACATTACCCACTGTCTTCCTGTTATAGAAAATGAGCATTTGTGTCATCTCAGCCCTGTCCCCACTTCCTCCTCCTCCGTCTTCTGCTTACTGGCTCCATCAATAGTCCGCACTTTCCATGTGATGACCCGGAACTATGATTTAATTCATTCCTATATATCTTTTAAATTTTTTCCCTTCCATCTAATACTAGTTATCACTTTGGAAGCTAAGCATTTTTTGCTTGTTTATCAATTCTTCCCAAGATCTCCAATAGAACTGTGAAAACCCACTGAATATTTATTGCTTACTTACATGACCAAACATATCAGAGATCCAATTTATAGTTTCAGTTTTTTCTTGGATGTATCTCTCCACCTGCCATCGTCTGCACTGGGTCTCCCCCCGCACCTCAGCCAGGGACACCCTTCGCTTCTGTATGGTCTCACATTCGGTTCTGGAGCCCATGTCTTCCTCGTCCTCGGTGCACGCCTCTGGGCAGCACATTCTGTAATAACACCTCACGAGAAAGGGTGTATGAAAGGAACCATGAATGTCTGAATGGTCTTTATTCAACCCTCGCTCTGGGTGGATGACTGGATGGGCCGAGAGCCATTTCTCCATGGTCCTCTGGCTTCCCTTCTGCCCTTGGAGAAGCCCTGTGAAATTTGGATTCACTTCCCTTGGTATGTGACCTTTTCTATTTTCCTTCCCCAGGAGCATTCAGGATCTTACTGGTGTCTCACTGTTTCCGCCCTGCACCTCAGTAAGGGCATCTCCTCACTCGTGTGTCGGTCATGTGGTGGACCTTCCAGGTGAGAGAGCCAGGTAATTCATGGTTGATTTGGGCACTTTATCTGTTCTGTCTTAATGAAAATTTTAAGAACAGGAAAGGAGAAGCCTATATGGAAGTTCAAAAGCTAAGATATGAACTCCTGTACCTGGGCTCCCTCCCTTGAAGCAATATATGCTTCCAGAGGATAAGTCACAGGTACCAAGTCCTTGTGTTTGCCAGGAATGTGGGTATGGGGAGAAACCTGGCTGGTACCACAGAATGTTATGTTGAGTCCTTACAGTTGCCCCGAAGGTGGGTGTTATCCCCATGTTACTCTTGAGAAAAACCAAGACTCAGAATGTTTAAGTAACTAAAGATCCTAGTACTAACTGAGATTTGAACATGATTTGGAATCTTGCTGACCCCAGAGCCCACCTTCCTTTTTTTTTTTTTTTGTGAAGGGTGAGCCTCCATTTATACTTGTTAAGAAAATGCTAAATTTCATTGATTATTTTTTTCTCATGGTTAGTTGATTTCATTTCTCTTTGGAAATATTTAATATCCTGAAAATAAGATTTGTAGACATAAACAAATAGGAAGGATTCTAAAGAGAAATCAGAGTGTTTCTAGAACTCAAAAATATTCACTTAATGTATTTTTTTCTGCCATTCTGGTGAAAATAAGAAAGTGCTAATTATTGAAGAAAGTGAAATGTCTTTATGTAAAACATACAACATAATGTATTTTATATGTTTATGTGTTTTATACAAATAGGCTTTACAAAGGGATATAAATTACACAAACTATACAGTATAATTTTTATTATGCATTTATAAATTGTAAATAAGAAGACATTTTGGAAGACTATTGAATCATGAGTGTGTAATGCTTTTATTCCTAGTCTAATCTGTAATATTTAAACAAAATTGAAAGTAGATGGATAACATTATTTGGAAAGGCTGTCCATGTCTTCTGGAAGTTCATATCATCATCAGGATATCTTTCAATTTCCTGAGGTAAATTTTCATAGGTCATTTCCAGACTCATACCGCTGTCACCGAAGGAAAATTCCAGTGTGTGGAATGCTTTGCAGTCTTCATGCGCTCAACCTGTTTTGTATCACAGAACTCTTTCTCTTTCCTTCATTTCCACACAGAAATCAACTGTCAGGGGACATTTGCAATTTTGGCACATTTTCCTAAAGTTTTGGAAGACAAAGTTTAACAGAAACATGAAAAACTTTTATTTGAATGGTGTAACATCATCACTTCTTTCTCCAATTTTACTTATAACCAAATTCCTATTCATTTCCTTCTTTCTTTAAACTGAGATATAATTTGCATTTAATATCATATTAGTACAACATGATAATTCAATATTTGTGTATATTGTGAAGTCATCTCCACAATAAATCTAATTAACATTGATTATGACACACAGTTAATATTTTTTCTTGGGGTGAGAGTTTTTAAGATCTACTTTTAGCAACTTTTCAAATATGCAATACAGTATTATTAACTACAGTCACCACACTGTATGTTACATCCTGTGACTTATTCATTTTATACTGTAAGTTTGTACCTTTTGACCCCCTTCACCCATTTTACCCACTTCTCACCCCTTACCTCTGGCAACTAACCATCTGTTCTCTGTATCTATGAGCTTGGTTTTTTAAGTTTTCTTTTTGATTCCACATATAAGAGAGATCATACAGTATTTGTCTTTGCCTGACTTATTTCACTTAGCATAATGCCCTCAAGGTCCAGCTATGGTGTCACAAATGGCAGGATTTTCTTCTCTTTTATAGCTAAATAATATTCCTGTGTGTGTATCATTTTCTCTATGCATTCATCCATTGATGGATAAAGAACTCATATTCCAAATCAAGATTATGGAGTACTTCCCTGGGGAATTATAAAAGTGGGCAGGGAGGAAAGAAGGACGAGTAGGCCACCAGCTACCACAGGAAATGTGTGCGTGCCTCCGCAGACTTGAGATTGTCTTGCTTTCTGTTTTCCTCTTTCTGCCCCCTTGGGGAGATGGTAAAACTCTCAAGAAAACTGAAATGAAAATCTAAGCTCTCTGAAACCAGAGAAGAGTATTTTAAAACTGTTTCCTGCAGAGAATCCAGCAAAGATTTGTGATCTATAGAATTCATTTTCAATTGACTAACAGCTGTCTCATTCTCCTGCCCATGTGATTCTAAGATTATATTTTATCAGCACTGACCACATCTCCATAACCTCAAAGGCAGATAGAGAATACCCTGTTGGGTCCCTTTCCTTTTAAAAGACAGATTTCCTTCTGGGTGACCTGGGACTCCCTCACATAAACATAAAGCATAAAAACAGCCACCTGGATCCCTGTGGGTCTTCCCCATTGGACTAGTGGCAAGTCTTCTAGCTGATTCACAGTTAACCTGCTTGTTTCTTTTCCAATCAGATGGTACAAAAGGAAACTAAGCATTTTGGTTTCTCTCATGACACAAAGGTCTCAGTGAAGAAGGACTTCTCGTTGCTGTTATGGAAATCTGGTGAAAGTGGAGGTAAATAGTTCTCTGATAAATGAAATCTTCAATTGGATTCTCTTTCCACAATTAAATTTGCTACCTTAGTGTCCTGGTTTTGCAACATAGTGATTAATACATTAAGTCAATTAAATTCTAAGTAAGTCTTCACATTTGTTTGCGTATTTTTTTAGAGGCCCACACACAGAATTAGTCTGAACCAAAGGTGTAATTTATTTGTCTGCAGGCTGAGTCACTCAACTCCCTCAGAGAATTTTTCCCACTTGTTCTTTCTTAATCTCGATGGAGTATGTTTTTTCAAAGCATGATTTATTTAGAAACAGGCTTTCTAGCACAGAACCCAATGGGTTCTGTGTTTTCTATTTTAGAATTTGCTCACATGTCTTAGGAAACTTTAAAGCCATGCACTCTATGCTGTTACAGTTCTGAACTGTTATGTAGTGGTGAATATTGTCACTGCACTTGCTTTACTACAGACGTCAGAAATGATCACCCTCCCAGATGCTCCTGTCAGTGTTAGAAAGTTAAAGAAAGATCAAAGAGGCCCCCTTCACACACCTTTTCAAGTCCATTAAACTTTATGGCACCACAGCCATTAAGTAATATTTTATCTAAAGTTCAAATAAGTTGTCTTCCTAAAGGTTTACTTAGCTTTTGGCTGTGAGCTAAAAAAAGAATCAGTGATAATCACAATTATTAGAACCCAGATACAAGACCACAATTTTTTTCCAGACAACGACTCTTCTAGAACATTCATGAAACTCTAATGGTAAATGACTGAGAAGACTCCATACCTCAAGCTGTAGGTCTGCTACTATTTAACATATGATGGTGAGTGAATCGCTTACCCTCTCTGGGCCTCAGTTTCCTGTGTATGAAATGGGGATAACACCTGGCAAGCCCACCTCCCAAAGCTGTACTTGAGTTCAAATGATTTAAAGCTTGTGGAAGCCCTTTGCTGTATACAAGATTGTCCTTATATGGCTTTTGATTACCAGTCTTAGCCTCCACAGAGAGGTCTGCAAAGGGACCCAGTGAGGTGCAGGAAGAAAATACCAGTATGCCCAGAATGTTTACTCTCAACCTAATTTATCTTGTTGGGCATATTTGTGGAGCATATGATTTGTGTGTATTTGATGGTAGATTGGCTTTCTCGGCACCAGTTCCAACCTACTTCTGATTTGTCCTCCTAAACTGCAGAGGCTAGAAAGCTAAAAAAAATAAAAAATAAAAAAAGACACTTCCCAGGAAAAGATACCCCTGGCAGCTGAGGTTGCAGAGGTGACCTAGCTTGGTGGATTGATGGTGTTTCTAGCTTCTGTAAACATGATGCTTTCACGTCCGCCCTGCATGCCCGTACCAGTCAGGCCTTCTGGACAGCCAAGTGGTTTGCCTGAGTCACCTTACCTCGGCCTCCTGCCTCCCGCCTGGGTGCGGGGCACGCTTTTCAAATACAAACCAGCCAATCCTGAGTCCACCCACCACCTCTCCCATGGGCTCTCATACTTGCCACTGGCCACCTGTTCTAGTCATGCCAAGACCAGGTACCAGAAAACTAGGGGCGCCCCTGTGTCTCAGAGCCCACTGAAATTTTTCAAACTAGCCAGTCCTAAGCTTGCTGACCCTGCTTCATCTGTTCTTCCCCACAGAAACCACAGTACAGGCTCTTACTCGCATGTCCCTCTCTCCCTCTGCCTCTTGGCCAACCCTGGCACTTCTTGAGTGGTCCTTGTATGACGTGCGCTTCTCTTGGGATCTATGAGAAATAAGCTATATTTTCAGTGACAGTTGTCTCTTGATCTATTGGCCTCAGCCTACCTCAAATTTTCTATTAATATACTATCTTTCAAAAGACATTGCCAATCAGCTGTGCCCACAGAGAACAGATGTAGAGGGTTAAGAAGGGAGTAGGAGAAACACCCACCCAGGTGCGGTGTGGCTCTGGAGCTAAGGGTTTGCAGCCGCTTCTGATCTCTGGGCTGCAGCTCAGGCACTCGGTCCCAGAGCCAGGAGACCCAGTGTGTGCTTCCTGAGCCCGCAGTGCCCAGACTGTGGCAACGTTCACGGCTCCTGGATCAGGCCTGGTCTGCAGTGTATTCCTGGGGGCTGTTCTCACATTCCAGCCCCGAATGGATTCCTCCAGCGTTTTGTAAGCACCTGATTCTCTGTATTAAATCTTTCTGTTTAAACTTCCTGTTATCTGCAACTGAACCCTGCCTGATACAATGTTTCATAATAAATGTATCACTCAGGATCCAGTCAGGAGATGGAAACCGCACTGGTAATTTGAACAGAGAAAGTTTAACTAGTAACAGGGGATTCACTCCTAAGAGGAACAGAGAAAGGCTGGGAATACGGGAGCTGCTGATGTGGGAAGAGCTGCCTCTAGGGCCCAGGGAGAGCATCTGAGGCAGGAACACGCTTGGATGAGGGTCTCCCTCCTCTCACCACGCGGAGACTCAGACCTCATGGGAAGGTGCGGCCGTGGCTGATTGGTAAGTGAAAAAGTTCACTGGAGGGCCACATGCCAGGGCTGGTTGGCAGCAAACTGTTTGCCATGGTCTCTGCAAAACTGGCTAGAAAAGCTCCAGCTGGGGTGCCGGGGAGGCTCACTGGGGGGCCCCCTTGGGGTGACTTGCTGAGAAGTTACCTGCTGGGCCATTGTCAAAACTCATTGGAGGGAGTGTGCTGATGGCCCTCCCGTACCCACTGGTGGGGACCGTCCCCGGGGGCAGCCAGGCCATAGGGCGCAAGAGGAAAAGGCCCTGGGTCCAGGGAGAGAAGCCTTTTCCTCTTTTAATGTGCATGACTCTGGTCCAATCCAGAGAGAGAAACCACACAATAATTGGAAACAGGCAAACTCTCATAAAAATCATTATTACCTATAACAGGGGATGGGAATAAGGAGGGACTTTCTAGTAAGAAGAACACTCTGGAATATGTAGGAAATGCATCTAGAAGGAGCATCAGCTACCCCTGGGGCTGAAATAGAGTGCCAAGGACGCAACATACAGCCCACCCCTGGCTGAGGTCTGGAGACTGCTAGGGAGGTCGTGGCCGTGACTAGGGCAATAGCAGAGAGGCTGCTGTGCTGCTTCCCCAGTGGAACTTGCTGGAAATCTGTCCACGAAGGTACCCCAGAAAGCCGTTCATGGCAAGCATCTTAGTGGAGTTCTTGCACTGCAAAGCCTCCAGGGTGGGTGCCAGGGCAGTCTGCTGACTCTGGGTGCTGCTGGCACCAGGCACTGTGGACCCAGATCAGCTCCAGTATCACAAAGCCGCTTATAGGAGGGAGATTTCATGATATGAAGCATCAAATTGATCATTGATAATAATCCACCCTTTGGGCTATTTGGCTTCCAGATGTATCCGTTTATACACATTTGAACTGTTGTATAACTGTTTCCAGCTAGTGAGACACAGCATTGCTTCATGCAAGTGACGTGTTTACCCCTTCCCCAAAATGAGGCACACAGCCTTAACATCATTGTATACATCATCACATGTTACATTAATTACTGTTCAACTGCAGTCAGAGTCCACATGAATATTCTGCCACCTAAAGACTAAAGCTAATTTGTTATAACATAATAATGGAAGAGGGGTGAGAAGAAGAAAATGGCTAACCTATACACATGAAGATACATCCATCGAAGCAGAGAGAAGTAGGCAGAGGGACTTCAGTTCTCCTCTGTGTAGGTGGTATCGAGGTTCTAATTGACATCTGCGGCTTCCTCCTCCACTACCCATTCCATATATCCCTTGTCTCAGCCAGAACTTCAACTGGTCATTTAGGTCATTATTCTGGAGACTGCTAGGGAGGTCGTGGCCGTGACTAGGGCAATAGCAGAGAGGCTGCTGTGCTGCTTCCCCAGTGGAACTTGCTGGAAATCTGTCCACGAAGGTACCCCAGAAAGCCATTCATGGCAAGCATCTTAGTGGAGTTCTTGCACTGCAAAGCCTCCAGGGTGGGTGCCAGGGCAGTCTGCTGACTCTGGGTGCTGCTGGCACCAGGCACTGTGGACCCAGATCAGCTCCAGTATCACAAAGCCGCTTATAGGAGGGAGATTTCATGATATGAAGCATCAAATTGATCATTGATAATAATCCACCCTTTGGGCTATTTGGCTTCCAGATGTATCCGTTTATACACATTTGAACTGTTGTATAACTGTTTCCAGCTAGTGAGACACAGCATTGCTTCATGCAAGTGACGTGTTTACCCCTTCCCCAAAATGAGGCACACAGCCTTAACATCATTGTATACATCATCACATGTTACATTAATTACTGTTCAACTGCAGTCAGAGTCCACATGAATATTCTGCCACCTAAAGACTAAAGCTAATTTGTTATAACATAATAATGGAAGAGGGGTGAGAAGAAGAAAATGGCTAACCTATACACATGAAGATACATCCATCGAAGCAGAGAGAAGTAGGCAGAGGGACTTCAGTTCTCCTCTGTGTAGGTGGTATCGAGGTTCTAATTGACATCTGCGGCTTCCTCCTCCACTACCCATTCCATATATCCCTTGTCTCAGCCAGAACTTCAACTGGTCATTTAGGTCATTACCCTGGAAAATGACTCAGGCCTTCATATGTAAAATGGTCTGAATCCTGCATGGTCCAGCCCCCACTTTTTCGGAGGTCTATAATGTTCCATTAACCTTCACTATCAGGCATGGAAATATTTAGAGTCACCCTAGGACTCCCCTTGGGTCAGACATAGTCCTCACTGCCCTGCCAGGTGGCAGAAACACCCCCTCCCCTTGGTTATTACAGGTAATCACTCCAGCCAGTACAGTGACCTCTTCTGCCCAATGGTTCAGTGGCATAAGGAGCCAAAAATAGCCAGGTGACAGTCTCATCATCCAATTCAACCAAACCATTCTGTATCCAACGATGGAACTAAGGTCTCCAAGCCTGCAGAGCTCAAAGATTCAAAGAAACAAACTTTCTATGAGTGGGTTATTAGTGATAATAGAGGAACACTTCCATTCCCTGACTGCTAGATCCATGAATCTTGGGAAGGAGAAACCGCCTATAAGTCAGAATCCCATTCTTCGGTGGGTGGTGTCCCAACTGGCATCATAACTGAGTCTTCCGTAAGCCACTCCACCTTGCAATTCCACCAGTTGCCTGCTTCCAGATGATGGAGGATGTGGTTACATCCCTTAGTTGTGTGGCGTGAAACCATTGCTGCGCTTCCCTTGCCGTGAGTCAGTCCCTCGATCAGAGGCAATGCGGGCAGAATACCACAGGCATTCCAGAGTCTACAGTGGACATCCTGGAGGGGGCAATACAGACAGGGAGGGCGATGTCCTAATGCAGAATACGTGTCTGTTCTGTGAGGAAGAGTCTGCGTCCCCTCAAGGACGGAAGAGGTCCAGTGCAATCAACCTGCCCCCAGGACAGAGGGCCCTGTTGGGGATTCAGTGTTGATCGCTGCTGCTGGTAGATTTAGACACTCAGAAAAGTTCCAGAAGAGGCTTCCTAACCTGAGCCTAGAGACACTGCGGAGCCTTCCTGATGCGCCGCTGCTTGACTGCAACAGATGTGGAAGCGGATCTGTCCTGCAGTGTGTTTCTGGAGTCATTTCTTAGATTCTACAGCTTATTCTTCCAGATCTCTGTAAGCATCTAATTCCCTGTATTAAATCCTTTCTGTTTAGATGTTCTCTTTCTACAACTAAGCCCTGTGTGTTTCAATGCTTTATAATTAACATATTTGCACAATAGTATGTGAATATAAATATATTTGAGATATCCGCTTAATCTTTTTTAAGTACTGGATATGCATGATTTAAAATTTTTAGAGACTCACTAGAGAGCGTACAATGTTTCCTGATTGGCCTAAGAACTTTCATTGGACTCCTGGAGCTCCAGATGGTCATCAAAAAATGACCCCAGCTCACATTTGCTTTACTGCTTTATATCAAGCTAATGAAGCGTGTAATGTAGCCCTGTGCTGCGCCATGTGGTGATGGGCTGTGTCACATAGGTGTGACCAGGTGTTTGAACATGTCATCCTCATAGGGAAAAATACCTTGAAATGGCTTCTTTTTTCTTTTTTCAAATCACCTTCTGGGTCGAATCTTTTTCCTGTGCCTAGACTATATATGTCAGACATATGTCTTAACCTTTTTGATTCTAATGAATGGTCTTGTGGTGGAAAAAGTGCAGTCTGATGTCAATTTCAGTCCTCTGCTCTCCTGCTTCGTCTGCAGCGGGCTCAGACGCGCAGAGAGGGGCCAGCTGGCTTCCTGGCCATTTCTCTGCCTCATCCCTCCACTCACTCTTCAAGCCACCTCTGACCCCCCAAGTGGAGAGGAAGGCGAGAGGAAGCACAGGAAAATGGTACAGGATGTTACAGCGTCACATTGGCGGCCTCTGGGGGTGGCACTGTGGATCCATTGAGACCTCCCCTTGCAGAAAGCTCCCCTTGTCCCATTCCCCGATGCAGGCTGTGCCCATGGCCAGCCCTGCCAGCATCCTCTCAGCTACCACTTTCAGAGAAAGACCCCACTCAGAAAGTCCCCAGAAGTATGTCCCTGGGCAAGTTCCCAGAGAACAGATCACACCCGGCCGCTTCAGTCACTGTCCATGTGCCACAGTCACCCGGGTGCTGCCACTGGCCAAGCGACAGATGCCGGCTCCCGTCCGTCTGCCATCAGAGAGCAGCTCCTCCAGCCCTGGCCTTGACACCCCCTCTGCGCTGGGATCTGTGTTCAGGCCTTTCTCTCTGAGTTCCCTCGCCTGACCTGTGTGGCGTGGAAGCACACCACCCTCCATCACACCCGGCCCCGAACGCCCCACTCGGAGGTCCAGCATCTTCTGAACGATCTGACCATGGGCAGGAGTGTGAGGTGGGCAAAGACGGCAGGCAGAAAGAACTTCCTCTTTGTGTGGTCGCCTCTTCACCTAACTGGTCCCCTGCTTTGTTGTTCTGCGTTTGTTTGATTTTAGTTTTGGTTGTGCTTTGCTTTTATTATTCTGGTTTGGGCCCAGAAAACTAAAAAATAGGAAAGGTGGCATTTCTACACACTATTACCTTAGAATCTTCCTTTCCTGGCTCAAAACACAGTCAGGTTTTCTCACGTGTATATTTCTCTACTAATTCTGGGGGGCAAGCAAGCCTGTTCTTGTTACACTTATTTTCCATTAAGAAAACCAAGTCACGGTGAACTAGGGACTTGCAACAGTCACACAGGGAGTTACTACCTAGGGTCACTTGAATGCAATATTGTCTAACATTATTGTGATAATCCAGACCCACAAAATAACCCTGCCCTTCCATGTCATATCACGTCTGTATAACACTGGCATAATGTGAACAAGACTGG